ATGATGATTATTATTATTATTTCAACTGAGATACTGTTTTATGAAAAATAGCTCGAAATGACCCTCACCTTGCAGTTACAGAGAGGATTAGATTAAAAATGCCGCAGGGAGATTTGGGTGGGCGAACATGTGGCACCAGTCCTCCTGTGGCAATAACACAAGGAGCAGATTGGCCCAGGCAGGGGCTGGGAATGCTGCAGAGTGTGTGCTTTTCTGGGTGGGAAAGCCTTGAATCCGTGCTTGGGTAGAGGCTCTTCCCAATCCCTGCTTTCATAGCAGAAGTGCAGGCATCAAGTTTCTCAGGATCTGGTGTAAAATTACAGACTGGATCCATAAAACACTCCTTCTTCCTGGCTCACAGCAGCTGTAGCACAGTCAGAGCAAGAACGGGGTGCTGGGGAAATTTCCAGGAGCTGCTGGCACTGTGTACAATAACAATTGACGTGGCATGGCATGGCATGGCATGGCCCAGTTTTAGCCCAAAGCTATGTAGATTTTTTTTCTTTTTCAAACCTTTTTCTGTGCTCCTGAAGAAACGGAGGGTGGTTGTGTGGGAGATGTGCACAGCAGTGTTGCACAGGTGTGATGTGGCCTCTGCAGGGACAGGCAGTGCCAAAAGCCCCAGTTCCCATGCAGGCAGGCTGGAATTGGCACTTGCAGAGAGCAGGTGCCTGCAGCGTGGTGGAGGGGTGCAGAGACAGATATTTACTGCTCCTTGTCCCCCAAAAACCCTCTCTGAGTGTTAGTCAGTGTGGCCACAAGCAGCTGTAAGTGGGATATCTGAATATCCGCATCATCCTCCTGCATCAGCAGGTGGAACTCTTTAGGAGTGGGTGGTGGTGGCATCTGTGTGTGCCTCTGTATGTCCCTGGTGTCTCTGTCTGTCCCTCTGTGTGTCCCAGGGGTGTCTGTGTCACCCTGTGTGTCTCTGGTGTCTCTGTGTGTCCCTGTGTCTCCCTGTGTCTCTGTCTGCCCCTCTGGTGCCTCTGTCTGCCCCTCTGTGTCCCTCTGTGTGTCTCTGTGTGTCCGTCTGTCCCTCTGTGTGTCTCTGGTGTCTCTGTCTCTCTCTGTGTGTCCCTGTCTGTCACATGAAGCCCCTTTGAGCCTTTGTTCATTTCTGTGATCTGGGGAGCAGCAGTTTTCAGACTGGGCACCTCATGTGGATTTTGACTGTGCTGCTTCTGAGTGCTGAGCAGAAATCTGAGCAGATAAGGCTGGGGAGCAGCTGGGAGCCCAACACAGCCAGGGACAACAAAGGATGAAAAGGACCAAGCAAACGAAACAAGCTTTTAGAAGTCCTTGCAGAAGCAGCCCTTCACTATATTTAGTGAACCTCACAACTCCATCAGAACAAAACTGGCGTCACTGGAGGGAAAAGAGGAGAAGTTGCCCTGAATGAAAATAATTCCAGAGATCAGCGCAGAGCAGGAGTGAGTGGGAATGCTGGATGGAGAGGACAGCACTTTAAAGGATCTCTGTGCCTTCCACCCACTAGAATCAGCCCATTTCCTCACCTTGGCTCTGTCGGTGGAGCCTGGGGAGCACTGGGCACGCTGGGCTGGCAGTGCCAGGGCAGCTGGACAGGGCCAAGCCCACCCAGATGCTGCCACAGGGGACAGACTGCAGGGCCAGAAGCTCCTGCAGTCCCAAGAGGTTTTCCATTTTGTAGCTTTGGTCTCTGAGCATGCTGCCCTCAGCCTCCCTAGTTCTGCAGAGGGAGTAAGAGGAGAAGCCTGGAAGATCCTGCCAGGAACCTACCTCAGCTGTAGGCAGGAGGATAAAATCCAGCCTTGGTTTGGCTGCCTCTGAGGGTGCAAATTTGCTGAAATGAACCTGGACAAATGCCTGCTTCATCTTTATCTGCTCCTCAGGGGTGTTTGCATGGCAGCCCGAGGGCTTCTGCTCCCTTCAAACATTGTATTATCAATTACCCTAATTAGAGCTTGGCACCTGCCTGACACCAAGTAATTTTCATTAATTTTTAACCTTTTTCATGCCAGAGAAGCCAATACTCAAAGAAGCTTTCTCCTAAAGCACAGCAAAACAGGAGGAAAAAATCAAAAAGCAAGGCAAAAGCAAGCAAGGTTAATGGCAGTTTGATTGGTGGCTGGCTGAGGAGGCTGAAGGTTGTTCTGCACAGCGAGGACCTGTGTTTGCATGGCTGCTGTTAAGTACAAGGGAGGTGGTCAGAGCCTCACCTTGTGCTTTTAATCACTCCTGTGCCTCGGTGCCACACAGGGCCTTGGCAGCCACATCTCCTCCTTCCCTCACTGGGCATCTCCCTGCCTTCATGTCACTGTGAGAATGAGAGAGAAGACAGGCAGGTAACAGTGAGCTTGATTTTTTTTCTCCAGAAGCATGCAGACAGCCAGCTTCTATCATGGAAGTGTTGGTGTGGTTATAAAACAAAAAGGGGCAGCAACATTGTGAAAAGAAGCTCATTTTGGGATAGTAGATTATGACAGCAAGCCAAATTTATCCATGATAATTTCAGGATGTGCTATTGTGCTATCACCCTCCCTCATTGCTGGGCTTATCTGTCCAAGCCCACCATTATTGTATTTGTGGGGTGCCCCGATGAAGGCAGGAATGATGAATCTGACTCCATGTTCTCAGAAGGCTAATTTATTACTTTATAATTCTATTTTATATTAAAGAATACTATACTATCCTATACTAAAGAATACAGAAAAGATACTTACAGAATGCTAAAAAGATAATAATGAAAACTCGTGACTCTCTCCAGAGTCCTGACACAGCCTGGCCCTGATTGGCCAAAGGGTGAAAACAACTCACAGCAGAGCCCAATGAAACAATCACCTGTGGGTAAACAATCTGCAAACACATTCCACATGAGCACAACACAGGAGAAGCAAATGAGATAAGAATTGTTTTCCTTTTCTCTGAGGCTTCTCAGCTTCCCAGGAGAAGAATCTGGGGCGAAGGGATTTTTCCAGAAAATATGAATACCACAGACCATGACTGGATCCTCCTGCAGATGGGGAGGGAAGGGGCCACCCCACAGTGCAGCCACAGCCAGGCAGGAAGGGAACACCGGGAGCCCTGATTCCACAGCACGGATCTCTCAGGGCTTTCCAGGTCAAGGATCACCTATTCCAAGCACAACAGTCGTGCTGCCCCTCCTCAGCTGCAAACAGCAGTAAAAATGTACCTGAGATCAGCTTGTACCCATGCACAGGGAGGAGGTGTTTGTGTTTGGGAGGGTGTTTGATTGTGTGTGTGTGAGTTTGGAGGGGCTGGTGAAGGAGATTTCCTTGCAGTATTAGGGTATTTTCCCTGCTCTAGGTTGTAATCAGATTTTCCACACTTTTGGAGGCCCCTGACTGATTATGGTGACCCTCCTGGGGGTTCTGACTGAGCAAACCAAGGCAGGCCATGCTGGGAAGCTCTGTGTGCCTGTTCCTAAAGCCCATGGATGGATGGGCTGCTTCAGAGCAGAAATCAGGAGCTTTGAACACTTCCTTGAGGTATTTGATGCCTCTGATATGTTGTCCATGTAGGCTGCAGAGCAAAGGCTAAACTGAATTCCCTGATTCCATCTTGGGAATCTCCTTATATCTTCCATGCTGCTGTCATGTTGGGTGTGTGCTGCAGCCCTGGAAAGACACACAGACGTCTGAAAATGTCTGTTGAGGAAGAGGTTTTCCACAGAAGCTATAAAACATTCATGACACCTCCATTGTGCTGTAAATCCTTAGCAGGAGTTGATAACAGTGCATGAATTTTTAATGTAACATTTATAAATGGTTATTAAAACTATCCTTAAAGTAAAGTGTCAGTTTATTTTTAATTAACTGTTGGCTATTTAAGCTCCTGATGGCCCCAGGGCAGATCAACAATCTAACAAGTTAATATTCCAGATTAACCCTGCAGTTGCTGCCTCTTTGCATGAGGAGAAGATGAATTCACAGGATCAACAACAAGTGGTTATTTCTCACTCACTGAAGAGAAATATCATAATTTCCTGGAATAGCCTTCCTTGGTGCTCAGTTTAAGAAGTTTTAGAAGCTCTGGAGGGATTTATTTCCTGAATATTGAACAGATACAGACAGATAGCAGAGCTGGGTGATTCTTTTTGGGGAAAAAAAAAAAAAAAAAAAAAAAAAAAAAAAAAAAGAAGATTATTTACATGGTACTGGTGAGAAGAAATTTCCATTGAAATCAATGAGTTTGGATCAAACATTTCCAATTGCATCAATTGCAATTTTGGGCCCCCAACATACAAAGAGCAGCAGCACTGCTAAATTTCTGAATTTAGGCTTGGTTGCAAATGTTGCAATTGACTGAGAAATTAAAAGTTTGGCAGCATGAAGCCTGTGCCTGTTTATTTAGCAAAGTATTTTGGTAAATTTTCTTATCAATGACCAGTGTGGAAAGTATGAGGAGGAAACTGGTATTGACTATTAATTATTTTCTATAACATATATATATTTTAACTCACCATTTTTAAGGTGTCAAATTTAATTATTCTCCAGCATGCAACATGCATTTTTCATTTGTCATTGTAATTGAAATAGTCATAGGGGTGACAGATTTTACAGATATTTTCTTTTTCTGTAATTGTTTCTATTGGCCGTGAGAAGCCCCTGTGGTTATCCTTTGAAAATGAAGGTCAAGCCAAAACATCCCCACAAAGCAGTTTGGTTTCAGTGTTACTGACATCCTAAAAAGGGTCAGTTCATAACATTCTGCCACTTAAATGATAATTATTAGCCCAAGTCTGCCAGAGTCTTTTCTGCTGACAACAAGAGCTGGCACTGGAGGAGTTTGGGTTATCATTGTGCTCCAGAGTGGTGAAATCCTGGGACTTTTTTTTTTTTTTTTTTTTTTTTTTTTTTTTTTTTTTTTTTTTTTTTTTTTTTACCCAGCTCAGTTATACCCAGGGCTCTTTGTGCCAAAGTCGTTCTGGAGATGGGAACCCACTGAGCTGAACTTTGCATTGCTGTGTCCCCTGAGCCAGCAGAGAAAGGTCAGAGATTCCAGACAGCGCCACAGAGCTTGTTTCACTCTGATTTATCAGGAGCTGCACCTGGGTGACACCAGCGGTAGGTCCCAAAAGCTGAACAGCCTGGATATTTTCCTGAGTGCAGTGAAACTGGGTTCTCCCTTCATCCCCAGTTCACTTTTGCTACCACAAGGGGCACAGGCTGGGAGAGATGCCATCACCACCTCTCCAGCCTGTGCCCCTTCCTGCCTGTTGAGTCTCTCGAGACAAGCCAAGTCTCTCTGGGCAAATAAGAATTATTTAAACTTATATTGATTTCCAGATTGGTTTTTTTCCCCCCTCCTTTTCCAGGTGATCAGCCTGTGCGTTGGGAAAATATGAAATCCAGGTCTTTGGAGCATGAAAAACAACAGGAGCGCCACAAGCAGCAACATCCGTTGGTAAATGCCGCTCAACACTGCAGAGCTTCCTGGAGATTAAAGGAATCTTGGAAATGTCACTGCCCTGACCAAATGAGATAATTTGTATCTTCTGTCACTGGAATCAAACCCTCTTTTTTTCCTTTTTCTTTTTTTTCCATAATTAACTTGCAACTGTGGAAAGGTGGGAGTGAGGCTGGGGGTGGGGAAGGGAATTTCGTGGCTAATCCAGCTGCACTATGGAAATGATGGTTGGGTAATTGTGCTCTCTAAATGAACTTGACTCGATGGTTGGTGTCAGGTTTTGTTAAGTGCCCTGGGCCAATGGAGACTAATTAGGAATGCATTAAATATTAAAGCTCTCTGACATTGGGGCATTGATGGTGACAGAAGAAAAGAAATCCCATAACCTAATCTGCACCCAACAGGAGTAATTTATGTTCCCTTCTTTTAGCAAAGAAAAATCCAATTATTTGGCCTGCTGGAAAAATATATTTAAAAGAAAAGTTAATTTAGAATAGGGAAAAATATATATTAAAAATAATACAGGTGCTGTCAACACAGTCTATGTGTGTCACTTCCCCTGCAGTTTTTGTCTTGTTAACAGGAAAAATATTTCCCTTTGGTGATGCTGTTAACTGGTTTTGCCACCCCAGCAGTGGAAGGTAGGAGTGCAATATTGTGGTTTTTCCTTCTTCTGTGGTCAGGTCAGCTGGATATAAGAAGGGATGGTCATCATGGATGCTCGTGGCCATGCAGGGAGGGTGGGCAGTGGTGGTGGCTGTGTCCTGGGGCTTTGGGGCGCTCCCATGGGGAAGGGGAGCAGTGCAGAGTGAGGGCTGCAGTACAGATGAGTTAATGTAGGGCACCTCTGGGGTGAGCCTTGTACAAAGCTCTCAGAAATTCCAGCAATTAAGCTCTGTTCCCTTGTCTCTACCAGGAGCCAGCCCTCACAGCTCCACCTCCATCTCCACACTTCTCTCTACCTACCAGTTTCCAGGGCAATTTTGTCTGACCTTTAGTTAAATGTCCTGCACTCCCAGGCAGCTCATTTCTGCTGGTCTGTCTACTTATGCAATCTAATCAAATCCAGAATGGAATATAATCAGCCTTATCCTGTAACAGCAACTTGCAAAAACACCCGGCTCCGTCTGCTGCCCTGTCTGTGCCTCTGCTGAGCTCATCTGTCCCTCTCAGCCTTTCACTGCAGAGAGAGCTCTGGACAGATTGGGAAGAAATTTCTGGTGGGATATCCTTTAGCCTGTTCTGGAGAGATTTTGAAGAAATTGCTGGTGGGATATCCAAACCCCCAGGTCCTGTGAGGGCTGGAAAGAGAAAGGTGCCCACAAGTGAGCAAATAGATCCTGCAGCACCCAGGGATGCCTGTGGCACCTGTCCACACAAACACACCTGGTGCCTTTCTCCATCCTCTTATCCTCTTTTCTCCCCCATTTCCAACAAGACAAAAAAGGCCTGTTCATCTAGGGAATTATGGAAGACCATTTTCTAAAGGAACTTGGTTGCCACGGGTTACCAGATGCTTATCTGCCACCGGTGTGCTCTTGCTAACTGCAGCCCTTGCAGGGAGAGGCTAAAGAGGGAAAGCCGGGAAAGATGGGAACATCAGAGCACTCCAGGCACTAGCAGGGAGTGTGTTCTCCACAAACCAGCTTTTCCAAGGCCTGCAGTTTCTTGTGCCATTGGCTCCAGAGTCCCTGAGCAGCTGGGGTTTGCAGCAGTGAATAGAAAGTTGTTTTGGAACTTCCTTTGCAGTGGGAGCAGGGGAGGGTAGGCTGGAGATGACAAGGGGGAGTATCTGAAGTGCCCAGAGAAAGGCTGTGGATATTTTTCATTTGAATAGTTGGATTAGTCTGAAATGGTCAGGGAATGTGGGAAGAAAGATCCTGCTGTACACAGCAATGCTGCTCTGTGTCTGTGCTGCACTTTGCATTCATGTGATGCTCCCAAGCAGGACTGGTGCTGAGAGGAGAAAATTCACCCAGGAGTCTTCTGGGGAGAATATTCCTGTTTATCATGGGCAGAGCACTAAAGGAACCCACTCTGGGGGAGGAGGCAGAGAGGACTTGGACAGAAGGGGGCCCTGTGATAGACAAATAGACAAACAGTCAGTGCTCCCCTCCCGTTCATTTGAGCATCTCCTGGTGTCCTCATCTGTGCAGCCCTATCCCTCAGGGGGCCCCTAATGCTGGGCTGTCCCCCTTCCCCACAGTCCTTGAGCTGATCAGCATTACAGAGCTATCTTTAATCCCCATTTCCCCTCATTCCTGCTACAAACCTATTCCTTTGCCCCATATCTTCAATCCTGTGGGTCCCCTAAATCCTTTTTTCTCCATGGTCAATCCCAACCCTGGGAACTTCTGAGCCCCTTTGGTCTTGCAGCCCTTGGTTCCTGCTGCAATCTCATCCTCTCCATCAGCACAGAGAGAACACTTTGCTACTACAATAATGAGCAAGAAAGAAGCTAAAAACAATACTTTACATTTCAAATAACTCCTGACACATCCCTTGTCTTTCCCTAACGGAATGACAAGTGACTTTATCCTGAAAGAGAAGGCAGCCTCCTGGAGCTGTCTACATTGTCAGAGAAAATAATTTGTAAATTCTCTGACTCCCTCTGTCACTGTTCGACTTTTCCATGCTTTTCATTTCTCCCTCCCTCTAAAGTCCCTCTATGTGCTATTTCCCAAAGTGCTGCACTTACTTTGAATGTTTTCAGCCAAAAGCAAACTCCCTCTCATCTAAAGGTAGGAAGAAAAAAATCCCTTCCCAAAATGAAGTAAAACGCTGCTGCCTCTCTCTCTGGTCCCTGCATCTGCTTTGTGTATAAGACGTGAACTTTAAAAATAACCAGGTCTTTATGACTTATTTAAAAAAAAAAAAAGAATGCTAATGAGGGAGAAAGACACACAGAAACCCTGAAAGGAGGATTTGTTCAGGGCAAGAGCAACTAAAATATTTACTAATGAGAGGGAGAAGAGAAAGTAATTTAAAAGATTTAAAATAGTTTTGTGTGTTTTTTTTTTTAATTCATGCTTCCTTTCATTTTCATTACATACTTCAATATTTGCCTACTTTTCCAGCAAAAGATTTACCTCAAGTGCGTACAAATTATCTGGCATTTGGTTAAGGACAATATGTCTAATTATGTCTCTAAAGACCTGAAATATTTTTAACTTAAGCTAAAAGTCAAACCAAAAAAAAAAAAAAAAAAGAGTAAAATTAATAATCCTTTTAAAATTCATTCCCATGATCGTAGCTGTACAGAACACCTCAATGCCAAAGATTAAACCAAGGGAAATATGAGAGCAGGGAGGAAAAAGAGAGAGAAAATAGAATTTCCCACATTATGCCCTGAATTAACATCCTCTGGAGATTTGGGAAACCTTGTGTTAAATGGTCTGGTTTTGGGTGATGTTTTTGGGTGATGTCTGTCCCACACCTTCTGACTCCTGCTCTGCCAGGGAGCCTGCACCTGCCTGGGGAGCCAAACCCTCCAAGCTCTGCACTGCTAATGAGGTTCAAACAGTTGTGATAAATATCTATTTAGTAAATATAAATATAGTAAATAGATATTCACTGTATCTCCTCATCCCTGCTTCCCCTCAACATGAGTAACTAATGAAACTCAATTGAGCATATTAATTATTTTCCCCAGGGGGTGAGGAGAAGGAAGGATGAGCAGCACCATCTCCAGAGGGCTGCCTGTGCTCCAGCAATTCATCTGTGGTTTGGAGGGCAGAGTGACCCATCCTCAGGAAGACACAGAGATTGCAGGTGTGCTAATTTCCTGAAGAAGAAAGGCACTGCCAAATAAAGAACAGATGGATCCAGTCACTAGTTATTTATTTCTATAATTAGTTGCAAGCTGTGGTCTCAGAACTTTAAGAAACTGTGGATTTCTATGAAACTCCTTCCTGCACTGGCAGGGTGGAAGCTGGGCTGGGCTCTGGAAAAGGCAGTTTGCAGTCTGTACCAGCTGGGCACACACTACCTTGGGCTCCTGAAGGCATGATCCAAATCTTTTGTCTGGCTGCTGTAGCCCATAAGAACACCAAGGACAGGTTGGTCTTGTAATGTAGAGGGGCATTTAAATCTGACTTAAACTCAGATCCACTTTCATCTTATGATGCTTCTCCCCCATCAACCTAATTGTCCTCAGTTATTACCCCAGCCTCTTCTCTTCCCTTCCCTTCCCTTCCCTTCCCTCTCACCAGGGTGACGCTCAAACTCCTTTTAAGTAGTCAGGAGTAGTAAGGACTCACTCTGGAGTCAGATTTTGGTGCAGGCTGTGCTCAGGCTCAGCTCTGATAACCTGGTGTGTGTTGTTACAGTCCCTCTTATCTCTCCTCCCAGAGCCTGGCCTTGCCAACCCCAGCCATATCCTTAAGCCAATCTGTTCTCAAAGGTGGGATCAACAGATCAGGGAGGAATATTTTATTTCCTTCTGGAAGCATCAGGTAGGAAAGGCATTTGCCAGCTCATCTAGGCATGTCTACTCTGGTTTTATTTTTTATTTTTTTTTAGATAAAAGCTGCTAAGCTGGAATTGTTAGAAAATGCAGGTCTGCAAGACAGTGGGTGAGTAAATAATTTGCTGGGTCTGTTATAAATGTGCCAAAAGCATCTCATGACAATACTTTTTAATGACACAAGAGAGTCAATAAATAGCAAAAGAAAAGGCTTATGGGAGAGATTTATCTATGCAAAACTTTTGTGCTTTTGACTTTAAAAAGATATGTTGTTTATTTTTGTTTGAATGGCTTCACACAAACAAATATTAGAATAGAATTAGTTTCTCAGCTATTTAACAATAATAACAAAACAACCCCAAACCCTAGACAAACCCAGAAACACTCTAACTTAAACCTGAAGAAAATTATCTGCCTCTATGGGAAAGAAACTAATGAAATCCAATCAAATCTCAGCTGGAAGAACAAAGAATGGTGGCTTTGGGCATAAATCAGACATGGAATTAATTTTGTTCTTTATTACATGCCTTAAAAATAAAAAGAGGGCACCCTCCCCCTGGGAGTGCTGAGCAGATTGAAATGATGTCCAGAGCCTGCCAGCTCCAGAGTTCAGGCAAACAAAACCAGTTCAAAATCAATATGAATCCTACTGGTGATAAAAATCCCCCAAAAGCACAGAGGGCACAGAATGTTTCTCATTTATCAGTTTCCACGGTGGGAAGAGGGATATGTGGGATACAGGAGGGACCAGGTGAGGATGATTCAGGGTTTCCCCGGGGTCAGGAGGTGCATTTTGCCAGGCACATCTTAAAAACGCAGCTGTCCCCCAGGAGTCACTGGAGTGGGATAGGCTTTTATCCCAGCACCACAGACATGTGATGGAAATGCCAAAACCTCCGTGAAGATGGAGCTGGAACCTGGGCACAGCTGAAGTTTCACACTGCTCTGCTCTAGGCAAGACTGTCCTTGTGATGCTTCTGTTCTCAGACTAAACAGTGATGATCCCTGCTTTGCACCTGCCCAAAATTCCTCCTAAATTCATTATTGGGAGCCCACTGTGATCAACATGTGGGAAAAGAGTCTTACTGCAATTCTTCTTTTTGCTGGGTCTTAATTTTCTGTCATCACAAAAAGCAGCACAGAGCTCCATTTGGAATTTCTAGCCCAGGTTTTTTTTTTTTCCTAGCTTGCAATAAAAATTTTAATTAGACATTTATTATAGATGAGGAAATCCTAAAAAAAAAAGCTGCAAAGTGAAAAAGCACTGAAATGTTAATATTTCCATTGCAACTACTTCCACTTTTGAAAAATTAAAGGGAAAAAAACCCAAAAACAAACCTCAACAAACCAAACACCACCAAAATAAATTAAATATTTTGGTTTGATTTCCTGAATGTCCCTGAAATGTTTCAGTACAGTTCAGTATTAAACATCTCTTTGTCCTTGCTGGAGCTGTAGAATCCCAGCTTGCTGCAAAAATAGAATTCCAAAGAATATCCAAAAAATATCCTGGAGTGCTGCAATGAGCCTGATACACTGTGAATTACAAGCACAAGAGGAATTCCTCTCCAGAGATCTTAGCTGGAGAAGAAGTGTCCAGCTTCCAATTTTTTATGAGCCAGTGTTTAGTGTGTCATAACTAAAATACATTCATTGTTTTGTTTGACTGCTTTCAAGCAAAGCATTTAGAAGATTGAAACATTCAAGCCATGATTCTATTTTTAATCAGTCTTTTTTTTCTGGCTGAAAGTTTATTCTGCATGTTGATTTCTCCAAATAAACAAACCAACTCCAGCAAATGTAAATTTTTCCTTTGAGGAACTGCATTTCCCATTGTGTATTTCCAATCCATCCCAATGGAAAGTGCCTGAATAATTCAATAATGCATAAAGAAGGTAAAGAGATGGAAGTGAAGCCTGAATGCTATTTGGCCAAAGCCCAGAATTAGGCTAGGAGGAGAAAGATGAGCGTGGAGTGATGTAAACCCCCTTAAGTGAGGCCTAATGATTCACAAATGCCATGAAATGCATAGGTGGAGTCATTTGTATCCCATGCGCAGGCAGCGAGGGATTTGAAAAGTGCAGCAAAAGAATTATTGGCCTAATCAGAAAAAAAGCCAAACTCAGCTCTGTTTTATTTCACATGGCTCTGGTGGGACGTGGCAGGAGCTGGGTGTCACCCTGGGGTGACCCTGACTGCTCCCAGGAGCTGTGGGGCTGGAGGCTGCTGGCTGTCCTCCTGGGCAGGAGGGGATTTAAAGGTAAAATCACTTCTGAGTGATTTTACCAAAGCTGTCATCAACTTTGGGGGTTTAACTGTGGGTTAGGGCAGGAAGGAGAAGTTTTGCTCCTGGGAAAAACTTCTGTACCATGATCCCACTGGGATGCAAAGACAAGGGGGACAGGGACATGAGACAATGCACAGGCACTGCTTGATTTCCTTCCTTCCTTCCTTCCTTCCTTCCTTCCTTCCTTCCTTCCTTCCTTCCTTCCTTCCTTCCTTCCTTCCTTCCTCTTCCCTTGAATTCTCTCCACTTTTCATTCTAAATTAATTTTCTGAGACAAGGAGAAGATGTTGCCTTAGCTTTGTCCTTGGGAGTCACAGATCTTGATTGAAGGAATAATTTTACACCTAAATGTGCAGGTTTTGGCCAGTTTTTGACAGGTGTGCACTTCCCATGGCCCCCAGTCAATCTCTCGCCCTCTCTGCTTTGCCCTCTGACTGTGCCCTGCTAAATATCTCTGTGCTTGTACCTCCCCAGGAGGTCAGAGCTGCTCTGTAACCATCTCACCTGTCAGCAGCCAGCTCTCCCAGCTCTGCAGTGCGTCAGAAAGTCACAAAATCCTGAGCAGGTAGAGGAGAACTTGGGGAAACTTCTTAAAATCTGCCCCAGGAGAGAGACAGCAAGAACAGAGCAGTAGTCACTGAGTGCTCCTGGGCATCTTCTCCTGCCAATGTTGCCAAGAGCAGGCTCTGAAAATGCCACTGCCATGGGGGTCTCTCCGAGCCTCACCCCAAAAAATCCTCCACAACACAAAGAGAAAGCTGGAAAAGGAAACTGCTGTGATTTCTTCACTTGTAAGCAAGGCACAGGTGCATAAAGATGTTATTTACTGGGAATAAAACCTTACCCCTGACAAATTCTTGAGGAGGTGAGAGGGACCATGGGCAGAAGTGGCTCACAGGGAAAATCTCGTGGGAGTAAATGTAAAGGACAAGACCAATGTGTCACCATTATCATATAACTGCCATGAAGTGGAACCATCCAAATTACTTCAGGCAAAACCTGGAGATGTGACATCAGCTTTGTCACCTGCTTAATCTGAGACAGAGCAGGTGGAGGTGAGACCAAGGTCATCATTTATCTTAACGAGGGAACTCTGAGCTGAGCTGCACAAACACATAACCCCCCCTCTGTCTCTCTGGCAGCTCCTGAGAGGCAGCTCTGCCAGCACTGAAGCTCATGTGTCAGTGGAGGAACACTGTTATCTTCTTATCAGGAGATGACAACCACAAATACCTCGGCCTGAAAGACTGCTCTGCTATCACCAGGGGCGAGCATCAACCTGCTTCACAAATAATCTAATTTAGGTGGATAACAGAGGACTTGAATGTGGGAGGTGGAATTCAGAGCCCTGTGAACGGGACAGGAATTTCTCACATGAATGCAGACCCGGTGCAGTGAAAACACACAAACTTTTTTTCTCTGTTTGTGATTGAGGCAGGGAGGGAATAGGTCATCAAGCTGGTTCATATGCAAGAGATACATTAATCATTAATGGGGTATTAGTATTTAAAGTCCCCAGATCTCCCTCTAACATGCAAAATAATCCCTCCTGCCATGGATGGTTTGTTTCAACGAGTAATCCACTCATCCTGTGCTATAATCACAACAGGCACAACTTCCATAGGGACTTTTCAGTGTCAGCAGACTTTGGGCTGTGATGTCTTTGAGACAGAGAATTTCTTTTTGCTGTGTTTGTGTATCTCCAGGTAAACTGGGGAGGGGCAGCTTTTAGAAATCCCATGCACTGAGTAACTGCAGTTAGTCACTCCTCCATCCTCCTCTCTCCCTGGAGCATTCCATGTCCTTGTGTCTCTCCCAGACACATTTAAAAGAACAATTTTTCTTGTGACAAGTAAAGCAAGAAGTGTGAGCTGGTGTCTGACAGGTTCAGGGAGAAGCTCACAATGAGGCAATTAGACATGGAAAGTGCTGATTAGAAGCACCATCACCCATAACAAGGAAAGAAAAAAAAAAAATCCCAAGTAGCAGGAGGAAAAGGGAAGCAGGGAAGAAAAAAAAAAAAAAAAAAAAAA